CCCCACACCATGACTGCCTGTCATTATAGTCTGGGAGGCCTTTATCACCCACACACTGTGATAGCTGGTCACTCTAGGCTGGGAGGCCTTCATCACCCCCATAGTGTGATAGCCACCCCATTGGTCTCCCTGATTCGAGGCCCATCTCCACACAGCTGCCAAAGGAATCTTCCAACAGGCAAAGGTCTAACTAACCATATCACTCCTCCGTCCAAAAGTCAGCAATGGTTGTCTGTTACTCCTAAGATAAAACGTATCAACGATCATTGGTTACTCCAAGATAAAATGTCAAGTCCTCAGGCAGGGCTTACCTGCTCCCACCACATTCTGGCTCCAATTCCCAAACCACTTTCCTTTACGTGACTTCCTTCCAATTGAAGGGGCCTATTAGCTATTTCCCAAGCCATCATTCCACCCCTATCTCCAGACCCTTACACATTCCAAGGCAAGAATGTAGCTGCTCCCGCAGATCTCCATCCCTCACAAGGCTCAGCTGCCTTCCTCCAAGACTCAACTCAGAGCACTCAGGGTCAGAAAATGGTACAGGTGGAGTTCACCCAAATCTTAGGGAAGCATTTGCTAAAGCAGGGCCTACTATTTCTTGTGCAAAAGACAGAGAGATTAGAGCTCAGAATGGGCGAGGTGAAAATAGAACAAGACGGATCTGAAACTGTTTGAATGAGCAGACTAATGTTTGTGATTAGCAGGCACCGCCCTCAGAGTGCCACCAGGAATCTCGGCTGTTTAACATTTTATCAGTGACTACAGGGCATGCTCATCAAATATGCAGATGACATAAGAGAGAGTAAACAGCCTCAAAAAGTTAATGACTCCAGAGTCAATAGAGCAGGCCCAGTGCTGTCTCTAGAAATCTCTGCGCACGCTCATCAAATCTGCAGATGACCCAAGTGAGGGAAAGCTAACACTAAGACAGACAGCTTTCAAAAAGATCTTGCCAAGCTAGAGCACAGGGGTGAATCTAGGAATAAAAGTCATATGTTTGGGTCCCAAAAATTAACTGTGCAGGTAGAAGACGGGAGAACCATAACCAGACAAAAGTGTGAAAAAGGCCTGGGGATTTCAGTGCAGAGTCATGTCCATGACATATGAGGAACTCCTTCAAATGTCGAAGAATAAAGCTACTCCCCACTGATAAATGGTGTAAGAATCTGAATTGGCAGTGCCCAGGGGAAGAATCCCAAGCTAACCATAGCATATGAAAATACTGCTCCAAATCACAGATAATTAGAGAAATGCAAATTAAAGCAATGCTGAAATCCCATCTCCCACACATCACATGGACAAAGATGCAAAGAAGGAAAACAATAAATATCAGAAAGGCTGTAGGAAACGGATACAATGATGCACCATCAGTGGATGCATGAACAGGTACATCCATTCTAGAAAACAATTTGCAATCGTACCCAAAAAGTTACTCAACAGGATATGCCCTTTAACCTGGGCTCAAACCCCAAAATGATCAAAGAAACAGGAAAAGATCTTTTATGTATAAAAATACTTATTCAATTTTGTTTATAATGGCAAAAAACAAAAACAAAAACAAAAACACCACTCTGGAAACTAAAGGTATGCCCATCAATTGAGAATGGTTTAATAGTGCGACAAATGAAGATGCTGGAGTACTTTGTACTGTGACGTAAGAAAGATTGGTACAAGCAGAAAAACAATTTATACTGTATCAGTGTGACAAAAAAGAATCACCTTGAAGACTTATAAACTGAGGAAGAATGAAATGTGCAGAACCAGGGGAACAAAGTATACCCTAAGAGAACAGTAAAGATAATTTGTGAAAGCCCTAAGAAGTGGGGCTGGTCACCCCAGGCCTCTCATGACTCAGAGGACAAATGATCAAACAGGATACCCGCCTCCTGCTCACTAGGTGTAGGTGCATTTAGGGCTGAGAATCTCACACACACATTACGTACACAAAGAGCACGCTGCCTGACTGTACGTATTTATTATGAAAATTTGTTTTCCTTTTCTTTTGTCCCCACAGGTGGGAAGAGGGAGGGAGAGAAAACAGATCTGTTCATTTTTTTTTTTAATGTTTCGGTGCTCACGGTGTGGAATGTTACTCACACTTTCATATGAGGTCACCATACTGTTAGTTTTACTTAACTATGATACTGTTTCAAGATACCCCTCATGGAGTGGGGTCATCTGTGAATGTTTGTAATATAAAAACAAAACCCATCAATACAACTGGTTATTTGTTTTAGATGCCCTAGTAATTAGCTCTGGCCCAAAGTAACACACACTGGTTCCCTCTCCACGAAGTCTTCAAGCAGAGGTTGACTGACCACAGAAATATCCTCCCCCACGCTGGTTCTGGGACTTTCTCACCTAAGTATGTTTTCCTCTACTTTCCCGCCCCTTTTTTCTTCATCAATCCTATCTCTTTCTATGTGTTTTGGAGGGAATTCCTTTCAGATAGGACTTCTACCTATATGGTCATTGACAGCCTCCTAATGCTATAAAGTTCTGTGATTCTGATGATTTAAACCCAGCAATCAGGGTTTAAATT